CAGGTGGTTCAGGACACAGAATATATTTAAAACAAAATGGAATTAATCAAATCTGAAATAAAAAGACTGAGATAGCCCAGCCAAGGAATCTGTACTCTCAACCACAGAAACCTGTTATTGCTCGCGTGGACTAATTTAAGTGCATTCCTTTCACCTTCCTTCAAATGCAGCTTTTCCAAATCCACTAACCCCAGCCAGCACAATCCATTTACTTGCTTTCATGCATGTTGCACAGGCTGTTATCCAGCTTTACTAGCAAAGACTCTGAAATCTGAGCATTTTCTGATAGCTGTGGGTACAGCTGAGTTTATTGAGAACAGGAGAACCAGTGAGCCTGACTGGAACACAGATTGCAGCTTTGCAGAGCTCCACATTTCATAACAGAGCCCTGCAAGGACCAACCCAGCTCAGCTCCAACCTACTGCAGGGCATGAGAATAAACTGCTAAACTCAGGTATTGCCAACACCTGAATTATGCAAGTCTTGCAGGGCTGGGTGTCTGTCTTCAGAAGAATCAAAAATTTGCAAATAAATTTCAGGTTTTATTTAAAAACTTAAAGGAATTTCTGCCTTCTTTTTCCTTAACCCTCGTGAGTACCAAGAAAAGCTTTAAAAGATTTAGTAGATGCACCCTAAAGGCTCAAAAACCTGGGGGATAATAAGAAGAACCTGTTTGTCTTTTTTTAAAAGTCTCATGACTTATAAGGTGGTATCTTGCTTATGGGGATGGGTGGATCCGATTCATTTTTTGATAGCTCGCATTTGGCAGTAATGTTAACTTTTACTTACCTTGACATACAATTTTAATTTTTACTTTCCTACTGCAATCATGTTCTTCCCCATGTAACAGGTTCTGCTAGTGACAGGTGATTGCCAAATCTTTTTTGGGGGGGAAAGTCAGTGCAGTTGTTTATTTATTTATTTGCACTCAGAGTGGGTGGGGAAGATCAGCACACAACTTCCACAAAGAAAAAAAAAATCTGAGGTGGCACACTTTTGAAATGCCTTGTTTTCTTCTGCTGCAGAAACAGAAGCAGATATTGCAAGGCATGGGAATATGGGAATTCTCACAGAGGAAATATCCCACAATAAGTGAGACACAGTTCTGCATAAGTTCTTACTTCACCCAATTCATAGGGCTTCTTGTTCTACCTCAACAACCTACTCTCTATCTCAGCTTTACAAATGATAACTGCTTGTTCCTTCACAGCGTGGTTTTCAAGAAGGTTTTCTAGTATTATGAGTATGGAGGTGAGAAACTTTGTTCAATTTAGACTATTAAGGCTTTTGTTTTTAAATGCTTCAGTACAGTTTCAATTGCTAAAGATTTTCCTTCTGAAAAGACTGATTAACCTGCTTATAATTCTTACCTGCGTTCTCAGATCATTAATAAAAAAAAATAATCAAGGATGCTTATAAAGTCCTCTGCAATCCAATCTCAATTTGTCATCATTAATTAGTTCAACATTGCATACAAATGAAGACCTAACCTGATTAGACAGCATGTTTTACTGGAATTCCTACTTAAGGTCATGAAAGACTTCAGAGGGAAAATTTGTAATATTTTCGAAGTGAACTGCTTGTAGATATGAAATCACCTTCTCACCTAGCAGCACTGAGTGTTTCTCTCTGCAAGTTTTGGCCATTTTTTTTTTTCTTTTTTTCCCCCTTTAACTAGGGGCCCATCAGAAACCTGAGCAGAGAATTAATCCTGATGTTACACTTATCTCCCTTCCAGCCTATCCTGTACAAACACTGCTGATTTGGCAAAGAGTGCCCACTGTCCTAGGACAATAAACCTGCCCCATAGAAAGAGTCTGCAGAACTTGGGGGGGGCGGAGGTATAGGAAAAAATATGATTCCAGGGCTGTTTTCAGAGACATAGCATTTAGGTCCTCAGCGAGTACCCTCTCTCCTTTCCCCCACATCCAACAGAAGTAACCTCGGGATCTACACGTGATTCCAGATTGTTGCCTCTAAAGCACACAGATTGGGAGCTAAACGCACAAAGTAGCTGAGAAATCTGAAGCATCTTCAGAGGTCTCTAATCCTCCCATGAAAGAAGCTCTTGCTTTTCAGAGAAATAACCCAGTCCTTTTACCAAGCCCACAACCTTCGCTCCCATGACCTAATCTGACATGACTCAGCCCAGAAGCTCAGAGGAGCTCCAGCGAAGCGCACTGTCAGCCAGCAGATCCCCTGCCAGTCACCACTGAGCCTTCCCAGCAAGGCAAGGTGGGTCAGTCTGGCTCATCCTCTCCCAAACAGGGGAAAGTGCGATACAATGGATTTCCTTACTTAATACTGTTACCCTGGGGAACTGCAAGAGGGGAAAAAAAGAACTAAGAAACAAGGCTTTCAAGTTTTGGACTCTTAATAAGGGTGGGGCCATCAAGTAATTAAACTTTTAATAGGTCACTGAAGTGGAAGAAACTCTTCCAGTTGGGTAAGTTCCTAATCCATCATTAAAAAAAAGACGACAGGCATTAATCAAAGCATATGAAGTCACATGGGGGGGGATGAGCAACTCCGAGAACTTGCTCTTGCTGAGAGGATGGGGCAATCACTCCTCCTTTCATCAACATTTCATGCATGTTTCCACATTTCTCAGGACGGCAGCGGGAAAGAGAGCCTTCACGTCCTTCCCCACCCACCCCACTGATAAAGCTGTCGAACGCATATTACCAACTGCTCAAGAGCCCATGTGAAACGAGTTGGTGGATTAATTAGCAGAAGGGCAGAGCTCCGAAGATGGAAAGATGCTCTACTGTGAAAGGTGTATTGATTGAAGGTCCCCAGCCACCACCGCAAGGCTGTCATCATCCACTGTGAACACACAGCATGCTGCCAGCTCCGGCACGAACAGCTAAATCTAGGTCACTTGTCTCAGCGTAGGGACACCTGGACCACGCTCACTCCTCCCTGATCAGAGAGCCATTGGGGACCCTGTTCCTTTAGTAAAATACAGGGACTTATACCTAGACAGAATGCAACAGGTACAGGGAGCACACCTTCATCTGTTGGTAGCGTGGTCCACATCAGGGCAAAAGAAAAGAAGGGGAGCCTAAACGTGCCTTCCCTCAGGCTGCACACGTTTGGTGGCTGTAGTCACCAAGGAGTAATTTTATTTATTTTTTAAAGCCAGCATGGAATCTGATCTTTGACAACTACCCAGAATCACATTAAAACTCAGCCTCCACTTCTACCCCAGAAAGCCACTACCACTACAGTGAAACATTTCAAGTGCTTCCTTAACTTTAAGCTCACGAGTAGTTCACTCGTCTTCAGCTCTGCTGGAACAGCCTACTACATACGTTCAAACCTCATTTCAAAAGACCACTTTTCATAGTTGAAAGGACACCATCAAACGCTCCGGTTCCCTGCAGCTGCGGTAGATAATTCTTTGTACCATACGTATTAAAAGAGAACACCTTTTCATATCTCCTTCAAAGGACCCTCTCCAGAACAGCCTGCAAAAATCCAAGGGCAGTATTTTCTTGCTCTGAGAAATGGAAAGTAGAGCTGACCAACGATTTCCTTACCTAAAGGGAAGTGAAAATAAATACTGCGTGTAGCGTAAGGGGAGAAACCTGGACATGAAAACAAGCATGAACTACAGCAGGGCATCACTCCCAATGAAGCTAAGGAAAAGGTGCAATTTCAACCTCACTTAAAAATCCTTCACCCTTTTATATGTAAGTAAATGAAAGATTTGGTCTTGAGCAGACCTATCGCATTTTAGCCCCATTTAACACTATTTTCTGAACAAAGTTATTGTTACCAGTTTTAGACAAGTTTTACTGGAAAAGACTTTTAAAATATAAAGGATGCAAACTTACAGTGGTTTATTGTTATCTGATATCTTTTTCCAGAGTGGAGCACATGAGCTCTGCTGCTTTGCTGGCAGCAGTGGCTGGGAGTTTGTTAGTTGCAACTTCAGCTAGATTATATTTAAATTTGAGATTGAAGTAGTTCCTCAGATTAAAAAAAAAGAAAAAAGCCCACGCTATTTAACTGCTCCTAGCTTTTTTGTAAAAAGTGTATTTTTTTGCTTTTAAAAAATAATTAATAATAATAATAATAGAGTCCCTGCTTTTATTCAGGTAGCATGGGGTAGACCATTCTTCACTGCACCTACTCCAAGTGCCTGAAGGACAGAAAGGCAAATATTGGACATCTTTAAGACAGCAGTATTCTCCACTGCAAACATCTGTACTCTAGAGCCCTAAACCACAACAGGACATACAGCTCCAGCAGTACTGTGTCCTGGGCTACAAAGATTCTAGAGCTTGAACAATGAAGCCCTGCTCTTGATTTTTGGTGGAGCTGGCTTGAACGTTTCAAGATCTGTACTTTTTTTTTTTTATAAGAAAGGTACTATTTTGAGAGCAAGAGCAAAGCATTAAGTAAAAAAAAAAAAATATATATATATATATATATACATGCGCACACACACAAATAATCCAAGTACTGCAGGGCTGACCCAAGCTGGTGACACACTGGGGTTCCCACACCAGCTGCAAGAGGGGAAGGACATGGAGAACGAGAAAGCTCCACACTCCATGGTTCAGAGCAAGGAGCACCACCTCTGTCCTGCTGGCACAGCCCCACATGCCAAACCTCACACAAACCCATGGATGCTGAAGAAAGCCAAGGGAAGCACTGAAGCCATGCTTATGCCCACCCCGTGTTTTACTCCAGCATACATCCTGGACCCAAATGGAGACCCAGTTTCATCACGCATGGTCTTTAGGCAACTGTCATTTTGCAAGGCATTTTATGCACCTGGGATTTAGTGATATTATTGAGGGTTAAATTCCCGCCACACCCTCCCAGAGCAGCCAAGATAGATCTCTCCCTTCTATGTGACATGTCACGCACTGAAGAGGACACGGGTCACTCCATTCTTGCGCAAGCCTGGATATGCATCATATGAATAATGTCACTACTGGCATTGGGACCAAAGCCAGAGAAGGAGCAAAATGATGCTGCATCCTTACCGTCCACGTTGCTGACTTTGCTGTGCTAGACTGCTGAAATGATACATCGAAGCTGTGAGGTCCTGGGTAGTCTGTGTTGGAAGGGATGGCTGGGGAGGGCGAGAGGGCGTCAAAAGTCGAGCTGGGCTGGGCATAAGGCGAGGGGGCTGTGACGCTGTTCTGCGCATGCTCCGTGTTGTAGGGACTGGTGGAGGAAGAGCCATTCTGGATCTGCTGGTCCATGCTGTTCAGGAGCCCCAGGTTCGTGTACTGCGGCTAGAGGCAAAAGAGATGCACAGGAGCGTTACAGAAGCCGCACTAGCACAGGCTGGCTAACAGCGGCATGGCCTTCACGATGGAGGATGCACAGCATAATCTCAGGACCACTGTACACGTGGCACACCAGGAGGAAGGAGATTTGCAAATAACATACCCCTCTTTCCATTGGTGACTGAAAGAGAAGAGTAAAGCTTCTCAGTCACACAGTAAGTCAGTAGCCCAGTTGGGAAAAGAGCTTGCATGTAACAAGGAGGCAATTCACAGGGCAGCAAGCCATCACGAGAACACAGGCTCCCTATCCCTACCAACACCCAGACAGAGTCTTTCTGGAGTCCCCCCCTTTTTAGAGGGACTGCTATAACCTGGTAAAAAAATCACTGTTCATTGCAGTGCAACTGGCTCTAACCTGTACAAGGAAACATTGTCTCTGACGGCCTTGCGCTCTACACGACCGCTCCTCTTCTTGTGGATCCAATCCTGCTATGCATGGTGATATTTGGGACCTCTAGCTCAGGTAGTAACTGCACTAAAGCGTGACTTACTGGAGAAAAGGTTCACAGCATTTAACCATGTTGCACCATGCGCTCAATTCCCAGTGACTGGTCACAGACAGTAGTAGAGAGGAATTAAAGGTCTCAACAGGTAGCATGAAAACTCACAACAAGGAAGGCATCCTCACATACTTAAGAAGCAGCAGTTGCACGGTGTGTAGCACTTAAGTGATCAGACACGGTTGTGCCCCAAAAGTAGCTTCCAGGTACAAACAACTGTCCTAGTTTTGGTTGGGATAGAGTTAATTTTCTTTCTAGTAGCTGCTATAGTGTTATGTTTCAGATTTAGTATGAGAATAATGTTGATAGCAACACCTGAAAACATCAGAGCATTAAGTAGTGTTTATACTGAGAAGTCAAGGATTTTTCCGCTTCTCATGCCCAGCCAGCAAGAAGGCTGGAGGGGCACAAGAAGTTGGGAGGGGACACAGCCAGGGCAGCTGACCAAAACCAGCGAAAGGGATATTCCATACCATGTGATGTCATGTGTAGTATATAAACTGGGGGGAGTTGGCCGAGGTGGGACAGATCGCTGCTTGGGAACTAACTGGGCATCTGTCAGCAAGCAGTGAGCAATTGCATTGTGCATCACTTGTTTTGTATATTCCAATCCTTTTATTATTATTATTGTCATTATCATCATTATTTTCTTTCTTTCTGACCTATTAAACTGTTCTTATCTCAATCCATGAGTTTTAGTGGTTCCCCCCCCCCCCCCCCGCCCCCCCCCCCCCCCCGGGGGGGGGGGGGGGGGGGGAAGTGAGTGAGTGGCTGCATGGTGCTTAGGTGGTGGCTGGGGTTAAACGGTGACATACGAAACAATTGAAGACATCAGAAACAAAAGCTAGAGAACAGAGTACAGAACGGCAAAGGTTAGGTTAGGGAGAGGTTAGCAGAAAAGTCACATGCCTAATGCCCTAAAAGTTGTATGTGTAGCCCTGGTCCCCCACCTCAAAAAGACAAGAGGGGAACAAAGTTCAGAGAAAGGTGACAAGAATTAGCAAACCCTTTCAATGCCTTCCTGTAATACGGCAGCAGATGACAACTTTTCAGCCTAGAAAAAAAGAGACAATGAGGAGAGAGGTGGCACTCAGTATGTCAGCGGTGGATAAATTCCCAAATGATGTGGAAAAAAGCAAATAGGAGATTAATTTTCATGCTCTCTTAATAGAGGAGTCAGGGAAAAAGAAAACATCTTGAGCAGGATTTTGGTTTAAACACACACAGAGTGGTTCTTCACAAAGCCCACAAATAAACATGGATTTTCTGCCACAAAATGCTGCGGATGCTAAAAGCCTACGTATGTTCAAAAAGGCATCAGACAAGTTCTGCTGGAGAAAAATCCATCAAGGCAAGCGTATTTGATTTTAAAATTCTGAACCACAAACAGTTGGAATCTGCAAAAGTACTCCAGGGAAAGAGTTACACAACTACCCTGCTCTTTTAATCCTCCAAAGGACCCAGCATTGGCCACGGAGACAAGGCAGCAGGCAAGCGGTACAGGGGGTTCAGCCAGGTACCCATAGTCTCATCCTTGTATGGCATTGTTTGTGCCCAGCTTAGGGTGAGCAGCATCCAAAAGGTTTGTGGTACCCATCCCCAACAGCTCTGGGATCAGCCAGGAACACGCAGCAATAAATGCACTTGGTTCTGCTGTTAGCTGCTGACATGGCAGAAGGGACTCAGGCTCTTCCCTTTATCCAAGGGTCCAAGCACCTCATGTTCCTCCACATCCTATAGCTTCAATCCCACCCAGAGCCATCAAGTTAATTTATCTCTCAGTATTTCAGCCAGTCTGCTCCTGACTTCCCTCTTCTTTCCAACAGTTGCTCCTTTTCCAGAGACAACTTAGTATTATCAGCCAAGAAGCGAAGGTTCCTGAGTCAGAGCACCAACCGCAAGACCCATAACAAAAAGCTTTCCCAATACTGGGAATCCCACCAGCCCTACTGAAGCTTCGAGCAACACATCGTCACTCCTCCAAGAACCCAAAAGGGAGTGGCACAAGCTACGTGCTGAGCTCCCCAGGGACTTTGGACAACCCATTTAATATCCAGCTTTGCCAGTTATTTCAGCCATGGAGGAAAACAGGCTGGTCCCTTTGCAAGGATGAAGTGCCCTCCCTACACCCAAACGCTCTACGCTCTCAGCTGTCCTTCCACAAGAGGACCAAGTAGAGAAATTTAAACCACCAATTAGAGCTCTTCCTTAGGTTTCTGCCTGTTTCACTGGAAGAGGCTAATATTTTATGGGGTTTTAATTAAAAACTCAAGGTGAGGCTGGTGCTCTGGGGTCTTCAGTGAGGCACATGGGACCTTCCAGATGTGGATCAGCTTGCTACTATAAACTGTGCTGGGAAGGAGGAGGTCTGGCGGGGAACAGCCCAGGGAACCTCATTTTGGGAGCTGGGATGGTCTGCGGAGAGAAGGGAGAGCTGTTTCCCTCCCTTGCTGTCAGTGACACACTGTGTCCTTGGGCAAGCCACCTCGCCTCCCCCTCCACCCTCAGCCTACTTCAGGCAGCAAGGTCTGCAGGGCAAGGATTGCTCCTCACTGTGTAAAAAGCACTCTGCTTAATGGGCCTCTGTTTTGTCTGAGGCCTTCAGGCAGCAGAGTAATAAAAGCAATTACACATTGAGTCCTAATCCTGGGTGAACCAGTGACTCTGTGTTGCCTCAGGTTAGTAATTTGCCCTCCCTGCCTCAGTTTCCCCATCTATAGCAGCAGGGATGTTATAGATTCCCAGGAACCCTGTTAGATGGGCAAGCAAGTATCTGCGATTGGACTCAAAGCATGCTAAATAGTTGACGCAGGAGAAAGCGATCCAGACTGGTTCTTCTTCTCCAAAAGGAGATCAGAGCTTTGGCAATGCAGATGACAGTTATGTCTCATCTCCTGCAGGCTATTCAGCCAACCAAGACCTATTTAACGGACTTTTGGTACATGTTTTCCCTCGAGGCTAATTCTGTATGGGAAGAGCCAGAATGCTGACATACTGCACCAGGAACAGCCTTTTTCCTGCTCAATAATTTTGTATTTAATCAAAAAACAAACCTCCCTTCCCTCCTTCCCCAGAATACCCTAATAAGACCTGAAGAGTTCTCAAAAATGTAGAAGTATCACTCAGTTGTTTCATTTCTCATGGAGATTAGCATCAGACACACTCCCTAACCAGCAAACGATGAAAAGACGTCTGTGATGAAAACAGTCTCCTAAACCAGCTCAGACATACAGACAGCAAAACAAGAGTGTTTCAGCTTTCACTTAAAAACTTTTCCCTCTAATCCCAGGCTACTTAAGATGATGGAGAAAGATGGCCAAACGGGCAGTTGGCGTTAATAAGAAAGCACAGTCTGGAAATGTTGAAAGTGCTGCCTGGAAGTCAATTAGAAAAAAAAAAAAAAAAAGGAAAAAGAAAAAGAAAGTTCTTCATTAAAATTTAAGATATCCTTAAGAGAATCAAAGATCCTTTTCATTCCTTTCAGTCCAGGGACCATCTGTCTAAATGTTACCAGCGGAGCAGCCATTCCACCACATTTATACACTCACATGCCACTGCCGAATGCCATGTCCCCATTTGCTCTTTAAATAACTATTAATCTCCTTGCACTTATCCTCGTGCTGACACAAGCAGCTGTTGGACAAACCTTCTCCCCCTCCGAGTCCCACCAGCCTTTCACCTTCCCTGGCCCCTTGCTCCCCTCCCCAGGCAGGTGCTCCATCCCCGATGACAAAGCCGGCCGCCGGGTTTGTGCACACACACATATATACAAGCACTAAATCTCTCGCAGCTATGCCGCAAGGCAGGCAGAGAGTTGTTTGTGCTCAAGGGGTCAACATCTGAATTGCTTGCAAGGCTTTTGGAGGAATCAGATAAGGCTTTCGGAGGCACACGCCTTCTGACAACACAACAATTAGAGGGGCAGCAGGCCCGGGGAAGGCGCACGCAGGAATTCACCCACCGCCACAATAAAACCCCTTCGGCCCAGCCACGCTGCGGATGGCGAGAACAAAGAGAGCAAGGGGCTGCGGACACAGCCGCAAGGCATCGTCCTGCGGGAGGGGTCTGCAGGGTGTGTGTTTGCACACACACAGCCTCCTTTCACCATTTACGGAGAGGAACACAACAGCATTTAATGCAGAAATTAATTCTTGCCAGGTTGGTAGCCCAGAATTTAGCACATGCTCATGTTTTGCTGCTGGGCTGGTTTAAACAACTGCAGGATGTAGTACCACCACCGATTCCTGGCAGGAGAATGCTATTTGGTGGAAAGAAGAGAAATGCATGCAAAGCTGAAAGAAGGGATTATCTAATTTTCAGTGCCTTTGTTCTCTATTTTGTTCCCTCCATCAAGTTTCTGAAACTATTAATATCGCTAGGGCATTGCAAAAACCTTCAGGCGAGTTTAACTGCAAATAATTAGAGAACTACAATTAGATCTTAGAC